TTTTTTTTTTTTTATAAATTTTGAGAGCCCCATATTTGGAATGCAATGGTTGGATGTGCCAAAGTTTGTTGAATTAGTATGCTAAAGTTTGCCCGCACTTGCCTGTTTGTTGAATTAGAATGCTAAAGACAAGTGCAATAGGCACTTCCAATATGACTAATCAAAATTTTATCTTCCCAACTTCGATGGGATGCATCTATGAATTGACAGAGTTTATATGTAACAACGAGATATTCAATACATTCTAGTATAAAATTCGTTATTCTTTGTTTGAATAAAGTTCTACAAGACAAAAAAGGACAATGCATCCTAACATAGAAATCCATTTTTTTGAATGAGATGATTTTTGAAAATTGATAATAAAGTTATTGTACAACGATATCAAAGTATGAAAACTCGTAAAGAGCAAGTGTAACTTATAAACTGCGTCATTTGTAATATTTTTGTAATATTGTTTTAGTTTTATCATTATTAAAAAGTTCGACATCTATTCAATTGTGCCCGCATTGAACGAATTTTTTGGCTCCGTCCCTGCCTACATCACCTTTTAAGTAAATGCAAATATGAGTTAGCTGCTTTTCATGGAATATTTTTCGAGCTTCCGCTTGGAGTTAGGGATTAAGTTGACTGAACTTACCATTGTACATAACTACAGAACATATGATTATATCTTTCCATACGTAATTGTAATTTTTTGAACCAATTAACTCCACTGGCATCATACGGATAAGCTGTTGATTTTACTCTCTACCAGCTAAGTCTACTGAAATGTTCATCTCGTCTCTATTATCTCTATACAATCCTAAGGTTTCTTGTTTCCGGGCATAAAACAGATGCCGGTTTTATGAGCATAATATCGTAAGTTAGATACAAGTGGGCATCTTTATTGGGATAAGCGTTAATAAGATATCACTAATATTGTCACTTAATGCAGCAATATTCAATCAACATCTATAATTTTTAACATTGTCTTGTACTTCATTCCTCGACCTGCAGTCTTTATGGGGCCCATGATAGCTATTGTTTGGTGAAGTACACAACATTCTACTAGACAGTATAAAACAAGAGAAAAGTAGTTATATTCTTTATTGTTTCTAATGTTTAGTCGTGTTTAACAATGCATAGCATCCATACCTTTATTTTATTTGGATGTTGGAATCCAGGAATTGCCTTTATAAGTAGAATAATGTGGCAGTGAAGATGGCAATTTTTATTTGTATTCTAAAAAGCATAAAGCATGTATAGGCGTATAAGTCAAGCTTCAAACCTTACGAGTCTGTGTAAAATTCTTGATCATTTTAAAAATTATTTAATAATTAAAATAATACACACCTAGCATCTAAAATCATAAAATACGATATTTACTTAATAATTCCTACAATTAGTCAATTATATAATTTTCAAATTTTAGAAATGGAAAAGCTAAACTATTTTTTATAGTTTCGGCTTTCAACTAGACAAGTCCTTCTTGAAATTTTCTAACGTGTTTTCATTTTTGACTTTTGTATAAATAAATTCATTTAAAAACTTGAAACTAATGTCAAATAAAAGGCTTTTAAAAAAAGGAAAAAAATTAATAAAGCGTCACTAGGCGCTCATTGCCAAGGCGTGGTCTTTCACCCAAGCCTCGAGCCTAGGTGCCGCTTAGACAAGCTTTTCAGAATATTGATTTTTATAGCTTGTTTCAAAACTTGGTATGGGTACATTGAATTTTGCTTATTTCCTCAGCTATAAATCCATTTTAGGTGATTTACAGTGAAGGTTCAAATTTGCATTCGCTAGTGTTCCTGCTTCAGAATGCTTTTGTAACTCAAGAAGGCATGTTCACACCTTTATATACTTTGGGTTGGTGCACTGAAGTTTACCTTCAGTTAGGGCTGGGCGCGGATCGGTTCGATTCGGTTCGGTTCCAGAAATTTTTGGGTATTTAGTAAATGGAACCGTCGGTTCCAGATATAATTCTGGAACCGTTCGGGTTCGGTTCAGTTTGTGTCTGTTCAGTTCCGTACTATAATTAATTATTTTAACATTTAGAATAACATTACATAAATACACTTGAAAGTAGATACTAATACTAATAACAAAAAGTAGATACAAATACCAAGTTCAATCTTAGCTTTTGTGAGTGTGTGTGTTAGGTTAAAGAATTTTTTTTTATATAATTTGTTTAGAAAAAAATAAAATAAATTGATTTATCCAAAAAAAAAAAATCGGTTCTTATTCGATTTTTCGGTTCTTGGTCTAGAACCGAGAACAGAACCGAACCGAACCGAACCGAACCAAACCTGTAGGTTCTTGATTCAGATACCCGTTCAGGTATTTAATTTAAGAAAAACAGTTCGGTTTGGTTCCGGTTCGGTCCGGACTTTTTGCCCAACCCTACCTTCTATGAACAGCTATGCTCGTGAAGTTGCGAATGAATGAATTGTGATATAGCCGCGGAATAAGCCACTGTTTTATTCTCGACTCAAAATCTATAAAAAAGGAAATAAAATAAGGACTCTATATGAGGAAGAAAGAATATTCTTGCAACACAGAACGTTCTGCTTAAGACTTGTGCAAGTTTGATTTAGTAAAGCTTGTCTTACGAGAGTTTACGTGGGAAAACAGCTAAATATGTATGTGCTAGGTTCAGTGCAATAGCAAAAAATGCACCCTCTTTTCGGTACTGTCGGGTTTCCCCTGCTAAAATGGTTGTGCATTCATACTCAGCTTTTATTCTTGCAGTACTTTTCAATCTGCTACTTAGCATCTGCATAAGCTCAAGGATCAGGCACCAATCATTAGCTATTTCGTTAAAGAGTTATGTCAGTTGTTTGTCATTACCTAAATTGTTCAAGACCTTCTTCCAGAGCATTTTAACATTCTCTGTGTGATCAGTGAGTGAATCCATAAGCCAGATCTACCGCGTAATGTGCAGGTCTGAAGGGTCAAGTGGACTAAATTCATAATCCACCAAGTTTAATAGCAAAGGTTTTTCTGAATCATTAACCTTGATAGGAGAAGTGTAAGAGTACCAAAAATAAGGTGAGGTAACACTTTGTCTCCAATATCAAATCACCTTCTTTTGGTTCTGTTTCTGTATTATTAGAACTATTACTTTCTGTATTTGTTAAGATGCATATGAACTGAATGACGAAGCAACCATCAAGAAGCATCATTCCGATGAAGCCTTCTTCGTAGCATTCACGAACACTGTCTGCTACCTTCGCCACCTGTTCATATAGCACGAACAAATTGCTGAGCATATATGATTTTGAGTTTCTCCAATGATTCGAGCTCAGGATTTCCATGATGATAAGGGCCTATTGAAACCACGAGAGGATCATTAAATTTCTTGTTTGATTAAAGTCTCATTCAATATTGACGAAATACACACACATGTTTGGTGGTTGAAGATCGCCAACCAAACTTTATGGCGGTCATTAGTTATTGTGCAACGGAACAAAGTGATGCTATCTCTTATTTCATTCTGAGATGGACTATTTAACATTCCTCTAAGGGGCTCGCTCCTATAGTTCACTTCGTTCATTACACTTGTAAAGCACTCTGTCTCTTGGGTTGTTTGACAACCCTCGCATACCTTTCGATTCGAGGATTAGCCTTCCATTTATGTTTGCCAAGAGCCTATGTTGTACTAATAAGAAAGAGAATGGATTATTGTCACAACATATGAAACATAGGGATGGTAACGGGGCGGGGCGGCCGTCCCTGTCCCTGCCCTGTTACCCGTTTAAGGCAGGGCAGGGTCCTTGCCCCGTTTACTACCCGTTAAATTTTT